CCCTCTTTCACCTCGGCGATCTGTGACTGCTTCAGGATTATAATAATGTCCGCACGCGATAGTATGGGGTACTCAAATTTCGACATTTCCCTTGCGATTTTGCTTGTGGTTGCCCGATTGGATGCCGAGAAAGTGAGAGAAACGCCGAGAAAATACGGAAGCTAAAGCAGAATGCGATTTTTCCCGCCTAAGGATTTGCATTCCGGTTCGGGTTCTGGATATATCCAATATTTTGTTTTTGGATTAGTTATCAGTAGTCCTTAAACTTTTAATAAAATTTGTTGGGATCCTTTAACTTTTTTCTTGTTCAATATGAACCTTAAGTGGTTATCCGCAACTCATTTGATTTGGGACTGTTGAATAAGTCTTTAGATTTTTTCCTGGTATTTAGCCTTTTCCTGGTATTTAGCCATTTCCTTGTACGTGCCTTTGTGTTTCCCAGTTATTAGAAATTAGTTTAACGTGTCTTGTTTTTCAACATAGTGGTTGCTATTTTGTAGCTTTGTTTATTGACACCTTGACTATTTTATGGGCCATTTGTTTGATAACTGGTATTATCTTAAATATATTTCGTCCTATTCCATTATTACATGTGATCTATAGAGTATCTTGTGATTTCTACTTCTCAAATTGTTTTGATTTTCTTCATTGTTTATTACGCTCACCAATTGTTTGTTAAAATTCCTGAGAGAATGTTTCCTTATTTTGGCCCCTTTTATTCAACAAGGACTCCTCCGACCAAAGTCCTTTTATTTTAATCAGGGAACCTTTTAGGCATAGGATCAAGCTTAACAAACTAAAGATCGAATAAGGGGCCAAGCTCTGTGGTTGCTAAATGACTTTCCTCTCAAAATTTTTATAAATTTTTTAACTTACAATATTATTTATGTATTTTCATATATTAATACTACAAGAAAAAAAGAAAGAGTAAAAGTAGTATTTTTAGTTTTTATTTTTCATAATATAATTCTCAATTTACAAATTTTTCTTTCACACTTTTTGAAAGAAAAAAGTTTCCTCTTAACTTCTTATATGTAGAACTCATTTAATAATTCTTTTATTAACTTCCTTTATACAAAATTATTAATATTTTACCAAAAAGAGAAAAGTTAACAACCGAACAAAATTTATTACAAAATTTATCAACTTTACATATAATATTTTTCTAATTATTTTTCATTAAAAACTATCTTTAAAAAATTGACAACCAAACATATCTTAAGGTTAACAGATCCTAAGGTTTTCCCTAGGGGATTTTTCCTTACTGAAGCATTTTATACTCATGCTTAGGAGTAGAGGGTGGGCGATCATAGCCAAGTTGTGTTTCTGTGCAGTTCTTGGCAAGGTTCCACTTTTTCCCACTGCTTAGTTAGCTTAAAATCTTTAAAAGAGAGCAAGAAGAAAGAGAGCTAGTAAGTGAGAAGTAATCTTGTTTTATATTCTTTTTTACCTTTCTATGTTATACAACAAACCACTTCGATTTAAAATCCTTTCAAATTTTAAAAATAAAACTCTTAGTTATTTTCGTAGATTCCAGTGGTAAAAAATTATAGTCCACATCATGGGCATGTTTTTTTAGCTTATACTTGCTCGTTGTATCTCTCTGTCTTTATTGTTTATTGTTGGATTTTTTGGTGAGAGAATCAGAGAAAGAAGGGACTTGGAGGAGAAGGGGAGAAGCACTGGTGGAGTTACCTCATTTGGTGAGGTGAGAACTCATTTTTTTCATTCATTGTTCTGTTATTATATAGCAGAAAACTCAGTACATAAAGGTAATTTCCTCGCTTAATCCTTATCTAATACAAGCAAATCTATCAAACATTTAATGCAATATTACGTTAAAAGTCTTGTTGCCATTTGTGCGGCTCCATGTGGCTAGAACTTTGCAACCACTTTGCAGCCTTCATTGCAGCCTCATTTCCTCTCATTTGCTGTCACTTGTGTAGCTCCATGTGGCTGTACTTGCTGCTACTTTGCAGCCTTTCATTTGCATTTCATTACGGCCTTATTTCATCAACATTTGCAGCATAGCTTGTTGCACTCTGCTGCTACTGTACTTTGGTGCAGCCTTCCTTCTTCATTTGCTGCCCCTTGTGCAGCTTTGTTTTCATTTGCTGCCACTTGTTCAGCTTTCACACCACAACTTCAACATTGGCAAAAAGGGTATTGTAACCCATGTACTTTTTGATATTGTTGAGAGTAACCCCGTAACTTTTTTTTGTAATATTTGAACCTCGTCACTTATATATTAAAATAAATTAACACACATATTTTTCGATTGAAATAAATTAGCCAAAATTTAACGTATGACGTCATGAAATGTCAGTTTACTGTGAAACCCATTTTCTATCATTAATACATTGCTAACTTGGCGCATGTGGGACCTGACTTTGTGACATGGGTTGATATGGATTACTTTTTTTATTACATGGCCCCTAATTTGCTGACATGGCTTTTTTTATTTCTCCAAAAACTCACCCGCTCCCCAATTTTCAAAGAAACTAAAATTTAGGGTTCCGTTTTTTGCAAATTCATTTGGAATTGAGATAAATTTCATCAATTTCGCAATGGCTAACACTAGAAAACAAGAATCTGCTGAAGATCACATGGATCAAGCACACGGTGAAGAATTCAGCGATTCATCAGAGACATTCTCAATTGATGTGTTTTCTTCCACCGCCGTCGATTCCTCTAGCGTTGGATCTGGGAGCGTTTTGAGAGAGAACGGTACTGTCAGGACCAGAGCTGGACTTACAGAGCGATTGTCTGATATTCTTGTGGAGGATAGTGTCAAAATTTGGAGGAAAAATGGTTCATCCTTCTTCATCACGATCCCACCTTAGCTTAATCTGAGGTCGGAAGTTAGCTGACATGCTTTCACCACTCTCCTCCACTCCTTCCTCTTGTTTGCCGAAGATGATCTTCGTTACATCCACTTCGGGATACTCAACTTTCACCTTCTTTCTGCAATCAGTGAAGGCAAGGATCGCAGTAGGCAGCTGGTAGAGGTTGACAATGTTGTCAAACAAGTTGGAATTGAGGAAATTAGCAATGTGCTCTTCCATTCCGTTATGCACCAACAGCTGCACATTCTTCTTGAGCTCGACTTCAAATTCTTTCATTCTCTTTATTTCTCCTCTTGTGCTTCATTCTCTTTCTCGCACATTTTTCTCTTCTTTTCTTCGAATGAAAGAATCATCTTCAACAAGTCTCTCTCATTTTGTAAGCTCGTCACTACTGGTACCACCTCATCCAGTTTCTGCTGCATCTCATCCTTCTCCTTCTGCAGCTTATCGTTCTGCTTCTACAAGCTGTTGCACTCTCTGACAATCTCCATGAACTCTTGTGCCAACGCGTTAACCCAGCTTGCAGTCTGCAATATAACAACCAGTTAAGAAAAAAAAAAAAAACTAAGTATCATCATTCAATTTACCTCCAAGGCATGCTTCGCCATTGAACTCCCTCCATGAATCAGCACCTCCTCCTTTGCTCGGCGGCGATCCACTTCAAGAAGGTATGCATTTAAAAAGTTTTTCGCCGCCATGGTGTTCTTTGTGTCAAAAAGATTGTTCTGAAGCAAGGGAGGAGGAACAAGAGCTTTGCCCTTACCATGGGTTGTAACCCCAATCTCTCTAACTTCGGGATCTAGCTTAACAGGCGAAGGCCGAGGTACGAACTCAACCACTTCATCTCCCCTAACCTCTTATTCTCCCGTCTTTTTCTTCTTTTTCTGAGGTGGCTCCAAGTCCTCACTTCTTTTCCTCTTGAGCTCTGGCCTTGGTTGTACACCTGGAGTTTGAGCTGACGAACTGGAAGGTTGCTCCTTCTCTTTGTCCCCAGCTCCTCCCTCACTCGCCACATCTGAAGTCTTTGACTTCTTCCTTGGCTTTTTGGGAATGGCCATCCCACAAGCAGCACCCAAAAATTTGTCAATCTTAGCTGCAAAATAACAAAAAGGTTAAAAACAAAAAGTCAGAACTTAACTTCTACACATATGACACAAGATACAAACACACATTCACTCATTAAGCTCGGCCCATAGAGCTCAACTACTTCTATAACATCTAAGCTGGTGAGAAACATTATATCCACCATATCACCCTCCTTTCTCACCAACTTCTCCACTTCTTCCTCTTCATCGCTATTTAAACTATACTTATTCTGGTTGGCCTTTTTAGCCTTTCAGGTAGACAAAAACTCTACTTCACCATCTCCCCTCTTCCACTCGGTGTCATCAACAAAGAAAAATTTTTCCTTCCATCCCTTAATGGATGAAGGCCCTGCACTAAACAGGTTCCTCTTTTCTTTGTTGAACGATCGAGGTGTAAAATAATACCACCCCTTATCCTTCCTACTCCTTACCTTAAGTACAAAAAAGTGCTTAAACATATTCACCATGGGTACCTTAACCCCCCTAGCTCGGTAGTATACTATAAATCCAATTATTACTCTCACAGCGTTGAGAGCTAATTGGGTCAAACCTATGCTATACTCCAGCAATAACCACACCAACAAATCTGGCATTGGAAACCTAAGCCTTGTTGCCAAATAATGAGCATACATAGGCATCCAATGATTCTGTGGTGCTAAGCATGCCTTCTCCTCCACCCCAGCAGGCCTAATTAACACCTAAGGAGGAAGGTCATAAGTCTCAACTAAATAAATGAGGCTATCCCTCGTACCCAATTCACTCTCATACCCCTTCACTTCGGAGACAATATCCGCCCCTATATCATAACACCTATCAACTCCATTATCAATCTCTAAAATGTTTGAGGGAATACCTTCACCCTCACCTTCACCCTCACCTTCACCCTCAACTATCTCCTGTCCACCCATCTCTCCCTCTGTTCTCTCAGACCCAGACGACCCACTCTTCATATCCACTTCACTGTACTCCAACATTCTTACTTCCTTGCTCCCCCCAATGCTCAACGTTTCCTCAAAAGACATCTCTTCAGTCTCGTAACTTTCACTGCACAGAGTAAGAGGGGGGATGTAATCAAGATCTTCAAAAAATTCCAACTCACGCTCAATGTCACTCTCACTTCTAAACTTAACCTCCTTAAAAGGACTTAGATCTAAATCAGAAAGAGTGAGAGGAGAATAGAACTCTTCACTAGAATCAGAATCACTAAAATTCATAAGTTACCTGATTTTCGGTCTTGTGAAAATGGCGTAGAAGTCAAAAAACAAAGTGCAAAAACTAGGACGTACAGGCTTAGATGAAGCTACAGCAGCACTTCGGTAGCAAATACGGCAAAAGTAAAATATTTTTTACAAAAGTATAGCTATATATACCAATGCAAATATGCACTCCAATGGTTGTGATTAATTTGATCTAACGGTCACAATTACACTGCTTTGAGTTTGACGGTTCAATCCTAATGGAACGCTTCCGAATTTGATGGTTCAGTTTCGGTGACGTCTCTTGAACTGTTGCAGTTACTTTTTAC